CCCAACACCATCACACTGGGTGTCAAATTTCAACATAAGACTTGGTGGGGGCAAGCAAACCGTATCCAAACCACAGCGGCATGAAAGGGATGAGTCAGATCTTGGGTTAGTACTGAAAAGGGCTCTGTGTGCCTGCTGCGATTTGTAGTGCACCAGGAGAGCAAAGTGAGTCCTGGGAAGCAGAGACTTAACATGCAGAGGGGGCTAGCTGTTAAAATTTTGAATTCCCTAGGCCTGGCAGAGAGAGTTGGAAGACAAAAATGACTGGGTGCCTCCAGGAGGGCCTAGCAGTCCAGTAGAGCAGAAGCTCTGTGAACGCCAAAATAAGAGAGCTGGCAGAATCTAGCGGTGTTTGGATGGAACCAGGAATGCTGGAGTTGACTAGGATGGAACCCAGAAGTCAAAACAGAGTCAGGCACTAGAATTGGCTGGGCAGATTCCTGAAGCAGATTCAGGTGGGTAAGGGTTTAGCTAATGTATAGAATGGCTTCTATGTAAGAGGCTATAAAGGATTTTTGTGAGTTTACCTTGGGTGGTAACAACCATATATACTGGAGAGATGCACTGCAACTTAAAAAAAAAAAAACTGATATAATTCACATGCCATGAAACTTGTCATTATGTACAATCTAGTGGTTTTTCGCACGTTCACTTTGTCATGCAGACATCACCATTAAACCATGAAAATGTTTGGTTTATTCCGAAAAGAAACCCCATACTCATTGGCAGTCGTCACTTGCCGTTCTTCCCTCTGCCCAGGTCCTAGTAACCAATAAGCTATGATCTGTGTCTATGGATTAGCTTCTTCTGAATCTTTCATATATATAGAATCATATAGTATGCTAACTTTTGTGTCTGGCTTTTTCATTTAGCATTATGTTTTTCAGAGACCCATCCATGCTGTAGTGCTTGTCAGTGGTTCATTCCTTTGCATTGCTGAGTAATATTCCAGTGTATGGCCAGACAACGTTGTATCTATTCATCAGCTGGTGAACGTGGGGATTGTTTTCATTTTGGGTTATTATGAACAATGCTCCTATGATCATTTGTGTGTGCATTTTTTAATCAATGCCTCTCTGTGTTTGTAGAGATGGTGTGGGTTCTGTACATTGTTCTTTTAATATGATATTTTATGTCGATTGTGTTTTATATGTTGAACTGGTCTTGCATTACTGGGACAAATCCCACGTGTTCATGGCTTATCCTTTTTGTATGGTAACTGCATTCAGTTTGCAGTATTTTGTTCAGAATTTTTGTATCTATATTCATAAGGGATATTGGTCTGTAGTGTTTTAAATTTTTACTTAAGTTCATTATTTTTAAAAACCGATGGTGTACAATATGATATTTTGAAATATGTATACATTGTAGAATAGCTAAATCAAGCTAATTATATGCATTGTCTCACATACTTTTTTTTGTAATGTCACATATTGCAGAATTTTATTTTTAAAGGCCAAAATAGTATTCCATTTATGATATATATTTTCTTTATTCATTTATCTGTTGATGGACACTTAGGCTGATTTCATGTCTTGGTGATTATGAATAATGCTGCAGTGAACATGGGAGTATGGATATGTCTTCAGTATACTGATTTCATTTTCTTTGGGTATATACTTAGAAGTGAGATTGCTGGATTATATGGTAGTTGCATTTTTTTTTTTTTTCTGAGATGCAGTTTTGCTCTTGTTACCCAGACTGGAGTGCAATGGCATGATCTCGGCTCACTGCATCCTCTGCCTCCTGGGTTCAAGCGATTCTGCTGCCTCAGCCTCCCAAGTAGCTGGGATTAAAGGCACACACCACCATGCCTGGCTAATTTTTTGTATTTTTAGTAGAGACAGGATTTTGCCATGTTGGTTAGGCTGGTCTCAAACTCCTGACCTCAGACAGTCGTCCACCTTGGACTCCCAAAGTGCTGGGATTAAAGGCCTGAGTCACTGTGCCTGGCTGGTAGTTGTATTTTTAATTTTTGAGGAACCTCCATACTGTTTTCCATAATGGCTGTATTAATTCATATTCCTGTCAGTGGTATAGAATGGTTCCCTTTTCTCCACATTCTTGCCAACACTTGTTTTTGTTGGTCTTTTTTATAATAGCCATTCTAACAGATGTGAGGTAAAGCATCTGTAGTATTCTTGCAGTGTCTTTGCTGATTTTCTTTACTTGTTTTCCTTTCCTTTATTTATTTCTACTCTAGTCTATTATTTCTTCATTAGTTATTTAGGTGTGCTATTTAATTTCCATATATTTGTGATGTTTTCCTTTTTTTTTTTTTTCTATATTGAATTCTACTTCTATTCCATTATGGTTGGAAAACACACTTTGATTTAATCATTTTAAATTTATTGAGGTTTGTTTTGTAGCCTAACATACTGTCTGCTGGGGGATGTTGCATGTGTCCTTGAGAAGAATGTACATTCTGCTGTTGTTGGATAGACTGTTCAGTAGATGTCTGTTGGGACTAGTTGACCTATAGTGTTGTTGGTCAAGTCTTCTATTTCCTTGCTTATCTTTTGCCTAGTTGTTCTAGCAGTTGTGGAATGAAAGATGTTAAAGTCTCCAACTATTATTGATGAATTACCTGTTTCTCCCTTCAATTATTTTAGTTTTTGCCTTGCGTATTTTGGGGCTCTATTATATATGTTTATATTGGTTGTCTCTTCTTGATGAATAAACCCTGTTAGCATTATAAAATGCCCTTCTTTATCCCTAGTAACAAGTGTTGTCTTCAGGTCTGTTTTACCTGTTAATATAACCATTCCAGCTCTCCTTTGGTTTCTATTTGCATGGTGTTTACGTTTTCCACCATTTTACTTTCAACTCGTGTTTTTGGGTTTAAAGTGTGTCTTTTGTAGACAGCACATGGTTGAATTATGTTTTTAAATGTTAATCCATTCTGCCAATTGATGTCTTTTAATTGGAGTGTTTAATTCATTTAAGTTTAATGTAATTGCTGATGAGGTAGGATTTATTTATGCTAGTTGGCTATATTCTATATATCTTTGTTTTATGCTTTTGTCATTTAAATCAGATAGAAAAAAAGAGTACATTTATCCCATTTTAAATATTTTAGAAATGTTTAATAATAAAAAAATTTAAACTATATTACATATTTTAAAATACACTTAAACTATTTGTAAAATATTCACTTCTGCAGTTACCTTTATACCTACTCCTATATATTTCTTCACATTGCTTTGATTTAGTGCCTTTTCATTTCAGCTTGGTGGGAAAGTTCCTTTATCATTTCTTATAGAGCAGGTGTGCTACTGATGAACTCTGTGTTTATCTGGAATGTCTTAGTGTCTCTTTCATTTTCAAAGAATTGTTTTGCTGACATAGAATTCTTGGTTGGCAGTTGTTTTCCTTTCAGCTCTTTGACTATGTTATCCCACTGCTTTGTGGTCTTCATGGTTTTCAGTGAGAAATCAGCTGTTAATCTTATTGAGGATTCCTTGCACATGATGAGTCATTTCTCCTATGCTGCTTTCAAGATTCTCTTTAGCCTTTGGCTATAAACAGGTTATTGATTTCAATTTACAAATTCACTATTACTCTGCCCAAATTTTAACATTCCTATTTGAAAGGACAGCATGGGACACTTTTGTCAGTGCTTTAATTCAACCCTTATGATATCTCTGTAGCATTTCTTTGATCTATCAACTTTGTGTTTAGTAATATGTAGTTATGTTTTTCATTTCATAATAGAACTTCAGAGTGATATTCATATAATCCTTTCCCATAACTTATTCACCTAATAGATTTGTTGAACACCTGTATATGGAAGGCACTACACAAGATTTTCAGTTTTCTTAGATAAGTAATGACATATAAGTCTACTGTGAGGATGACACATATGGTTGGCAGAGCACACATACTTAACTAATTACCGTGCAATTAGGTTGAAGGTTTACTATGTGCATAAACATAGTAGTTTGGGAGCACAGAGTAGGAAGTCACTGATTTTTGTATTTGGTAGATGAGCAAACTGAGGATTAGATAGATTAGCAATTTGAGACCTCAAGTTATCTAAATTAGAAAGTGACACAACCAAGGAATAGAAGTCACTATTCTGGGTTCTTTCTGTGAAACAATGGTGATTCTAGAGTGTGGCTATTTTCTATGTTCAAGCATCATATGTAAAAATGATTTCTTAAACCAGGTAAGTATGTGAAGCACAGATTGGCTATTTTGCTTCAAAAGGTGTTTATGCTAAAAATAAAAACAAGCAGTACTTGTTTAAGTTTATTGTATTAGTATGAATTTAGTAAACAATGTTGGAACTTGAGGTGTCAAAATATGAAAAGATAGTTATTCTTAGTAAATGTACCCTAGATATTTTATTTTCCTTTTTATTGATATTTCTTTTTTCAAAAGAACTCTTCTCCTCCCTACATCCCTAGCAAAATTTTGAATAGGTACAGTTTGTATTAGAGTCTCCCTAAAAATAAAGTTACAGATCAATCAAAACTATATTCATTCTCTATAGGGATAAAGCATGACATTTTTGGGCATACAGTTTTAATTTTAATCTGCATGCCTCCGTTTCTATTCTCCCATGAGTCTTTGCAGCAGGACAAGGAAAAGCAAGTCTTATAAAAAGAAATACAGTGTGTGGTGCTTATTAAAGTTACATACATCTCTTCTCACAGGAGAAATTTGATTTATTGCAGGTTGTGCATATGTCGCATATGGACATTTCTAGGGAACAGATTCCTTATGCTGAGCAGTGAATGGCTTCTAGTACTCCATTATTGCTCTGGGAACATGTTAGTAATGATTATGAAAGGTAGGATACCATGAAATCTGTAAGGTGATTTGGCAGAAGTCGATGCTGTTGGTGCCAGAATTTGGGTACCGTACCACGGTTTCCTGTTTTCAAATGTATTAATTGATCCGCAAAGGACATCTTTTGGAGACAAGAATTCAGACAGACTGGCACAGCCTGGACCTCCGCCAAGACTGCTCGGAAGGTTGCCATACTGGGAGCAAAAGAGTGAGAGAGAGAAAGAGGGAGAGAGAGAGGCAGAGGGAGAGCTGAGGAAAGAAAAAAAGGCAAGACTTGGCACAGCTCAGTCAAATCAGCTTCTTTTGTCTGCTTTCTCGGCTTGAGCTTCAGGAAAGAAAACCGTCCTGGGGTATAGAAAAACTCAGAACTTTTTGGTTTTCAAACTTAGAAGGCTTTTTAAGTCTCTTGGGCTATTTGAAAGTGTTGGTACATACAATGACGTTTAGTCACCAGTATTAAGGGAAATAAAAGCCTTTTTCAAAACGAAGCTTCCACAGTGTCCATGCATTTGGGAAATACTATATTTGATTTTTTGCATGTATGATTATACCATGAGAGACAGGATTAATATAGAAGATGGCAAGGCAAATTTCTAATTAGAGAGAATATTAATTTTCTACAAAATAAAGTTTGTTCATCAATACAAACCTGCTTTCAAATCAAATCAGAAAGACATCCTTCGGAATGTGTACAGAACGTAAGTTTTTAGATTTTATTTTATTTTATTTTTGAACATTTGTAGACATTAACTTTTCAAGGAGACTTTCTAAGATTTGATGCAACCCAGCCAGGAAGTCAGAGTAAAAGTTGTTTTATCCATGTGTTTAAGAAAACGTTTTCTTAAAGCAACAGCTTTTATTTCTGCTGCTTCATGCTGTCCTAAACTACATCCCCCAGCAATTAGTGACAACACTGAAGACCAGAAAGGCAAGCTGAAGACACCAGACTTCGCTTGAAGGGCAAACAAGAAATGTGAGCTTGGTCATTATTTTTTTGTGTGTCTTTGCTCTGAACCATTTTTGGGAGGTGGGTGGGGAGGTGTCTATGTCTAAGAGATGTATGCGATTAGTGAATTCTCATTGTGAGAAGGAAATGATGAAAGGTGATTTTTATGATGTTGTCAGAAATGGCTGGGAATGGTAGAGAATAGAAATTTAAATCTTTTGGGGAAGAAGTGGTGAGCTGTGTTTGCAATACTTGGAGAAAAATTCCTTATTTTCAGTTGATGAGATTTTATAATCAAACGATTACTATAGCCTGGTTCTCTCAAAATGTTTTAAGTGGAAGGAAAATCTAGAAAGTTTATCGATTTTCTTTTTAATACTGCCTGGTGTTTTACTTAGATATATACTTTATATCTAATTTCTGAGCAATAAATCCTTCCTATTAGGCCTGGTTATGGTTGGATTGTGATAGTTCTGTTCTTAAAAATCAGCGTTATTGTAGGAGAGGTTAACTGTAAGGCATGTGTTTCTGTGGACCACCCTTGTTGTAAGTATTCTGTTTTTAAAGAGAGTTTGAGTTGTAGGGATTAGGTTATGACTTACTATAATCATATATTTTCTTTTTATTTTATATGCTGAAACAATACAGGAAAATGTATATATTCACATAAGTACTCATCATTTTGGGCAGTATAAAAGACTGCCCCTGGATCTGTGCTTTTGTTTTGAGTATATAATCATTGATTTGTTAATCCTTCGACAATAAAAACCTGTCTATAGCTTTCTATTGCTGCGCGCCTTAAATGATCAATTGTTTCAGATAGTTTTTTAATAAAATTATAGTGACACATCAGCAACCCTGAAAATGGCATTTAATATACAAATATGATTGAAAAATATATGAAATCTAACAGAGGTGTTTGAACAGTTAAGCTTAAATATGTTCTTCAGCTTTTTAATTAATCAACATTTTGATTTTTCAGTAAAATGGAATCACTGAACGTTTATGTGTGTTGCCAAAATGACAACCTTTGTTTAATAAGCTCCTTTATACACTACCTCGCTGATACTCCTAAAATGGACGCCAAGACATGAAAGACATGCTGATAGGCACGGGAAGGGAATGTTTGCCTGACTGCAGTCTTCCTTTTTGAATTGATTACAGGATCATTCATGCCTCTACTAAAAACAACAATATATGAAACAAAAAGAAAGTTCAGCAAATACGTTTAATTTGAGCTTCATTTTAATACTGACCGTCTTATTGCCGATTTATATTTACTTCCATTTGCTTCTTAAACATTTAACATACCTTCTTGCCATTTAAGTTTGCTAAATATATAACTTATTTAATTTATTTAAGGCCATTTATTTCCTGAAGTTAAAATAATTTTTGCCAGCTGATTTCTTCTTTGCAGCGAACTCAGAACAAACTTACATCCAAACTATTTCATGTCCAATTATTTTCTAACAGTATGATCAAAAGTAGGTGAATTAAAAAACAAATACGTCAGAATATACATTAGAAGTATTAAATTTTTCGATACTGGTAATCCTACATTTTATAGTGTGTGTTAAACTTAAAATTTGATAAATATTAGCTGTTATGGTCACTAAAGTTTCTTGCCAATAGATTCTCTCTGGCCTACTCATTACATAGCTTAAAATAAAAATAAAAAAAAAACTCCTATGAAGATGTTCCTTGTAAACTGGGTATAATAGATGTGTCTTTGTGCAAGGTTTTTTTTTTTAAAAATGTGATTAAGAAGTTGCGTTGATTGCATTTTTTTTTAAAAGAAATTTAGTTGTAACATAATGCATGCTTCTGTCCTTTTAGACCATTTGTACTACAAACACTTTGACATTTAGGTTATTAACTATTTCTGCATTAATATTTCAAATCATATTTTAAAGTATATAAATACTAGTGGTTTGATTGCAAATGAACTCTATCTCTGCACATATTTATTGTCGTTTGAATTGTGTAATATTTTGAAGTAGAATTATTAAGGCAGAAATGCATTAATATTTAACTGCTACTTGATGCTTATTATTAAATTCCATCTTGATGTATGTACCTGAACATACAAGCACATTATTCTACAAATTAATGCGAACTTCTCAGGGAGCGTTAGTTCAGTATTTTATAATTACTCACTCATTTATTCATTTATTCAACAAATGTTTATTGAGCACTCACTTAAATACGCTAATATTTTATTGATAAAGTTATTTTGGGTAATGGGGATGGAAGAAGGAATAGATTTAAAATAAAGTCCAAAAGCCTGTATAGAAAAAGGCAGTACTACAATGAGATTTATTTCAGCAGATAAAGTATGTTCACTTTTCTTGCACAATACACATATTAAAGAATGTGATTATAAAATATCAGGAGATTAGTTGTAGTACACGTAGCTGTAAGAATCTTGTTTTATGACCGTTTTGGTTGCTCCATTTTCTTGGCCCCAAAACTGGAGTTGTTCAGGTCTTCTGACAGACATGTAAAATAAGTAATTCAAATTCAGGGAGGAAGAAACCGAGATTGAGCCCCTGCCCACATGCTAGATCTTAAATATGTCAAAGCAGGTGTAATTGAACCTTCGAAAATGTGGCTGCAACGTCAACAACAGTGGCCCGTTTATGTGGGATTTTTTCCTTTCCTTTGTTTTCCGTTGTGAGACAGAGGAGGAAGAGGAGGCCCATCCCACATCCTGAAGCCAGCATGGCCCTTTGAAAGAAGGTTTGCTAGGGGGCGGTATATTTTAAATGGACCTATCAGTTCACTTTCTGTATTCTAGTGTGTGTGTGTGTGTGTGTGTGTGTGTGTGTGTGTGTGTGTGAGAGAGAGAGAGAGAGAGAGAGAGAGAGAGAGAGAGAGAGAACACACATTTAAGTCAGTGGCCTAACTTTATTTTATGCAATTGTTCTCTGATACAAAAATAAGGCATAGGTTCATCTTTCAAAAGGAGATAGAAGTCATGTGATGTGAGGAGTTGTGCTTGTAGGCTGCTTTGGTGGCCCTAGGCGTGAGGCAGAGCTGGTGGCCCATGGAATGGAGATGAGAAGTGTCTCAGCTGTGGGTAAACACTGCTGAGGTCATTCAGCAGATACTCCTAGAGGACTTGCCCTGTGCCAGGCAAAAGATAGAATCGCTGCCCATAGGAATTTCTTGTGTAGTTGGGTGGAGGAGAGGAGAGTAATAATTGATGAATGTAACTATCTTTTCAGGTTACCAAATACCTTCGCCTGTTATTCCGTGTAATCCAGGTAGCCATGCTGGGCACAGGGACTGGTACACAATGGCACTTAATAAGTATTTATGGAAGAAATAAACCGAGTGGTGAACCCCAGAGTATTATCTTCTTGAGTCTTATATGACTAAGAGTTTTTTCCCTTGTGGATCAAAAGCAAAAAGCACTGTGCTTTAGTTTGTTTCTCTGTTGCTGGTTATGGGTTTAAAGGGGTGGAGTAGAGGGCCACATTATTTGTGACCATGTTAGGCTCTCTTGAGGTGGCCATTGGAGGCTTGCCTGGTATGGGGTGGCCCTGGGCATCTGTTCTCTTTGGCCAGCCCTCCGTTGTCTTGCATTCCCTCCGCCCTCATTTTCCCAAAGGATTCCATACTGTACCTTAGGACTTGGTGGTGTGGCCTGAGCATGAAGCAGGCCAGTGGAGTGTCCAGTGGGTTTAGAGTGTTTCTTTTGAGGGCAGGACAAAGACAGAGGGGATTGAGACAGAGAAGGTGGTAAGGGCAGTTGTGCAGAGCTGAGGGTGACACCCAGCAAGCAGCTTCAGTCCTTTTGTAGCTGCAGTGCCAGGGGCCCCTGAGGGAGCGAGGGTGGAAGTGGGGTCCTGGGTTAGACTGTAATATCAGCAACCACAGGTGTTGAGAAGGCATAAAGTGTTATTGGGGGGCTGCATGAGGGCATGTAAATGGGTTGCTGAGGCTAGTTCATGTTGAACAATGTTTTTCTGGGTCTTTCTCCAGGGATGTTTTGAGGCCCAGGAGAGGGAGAGGCAGAGTCAGGATCATTGGGTACAGTTTGTGTCCAAGGCAGTGAGGGGCTGGAATTTAGCCCCTACTTCGCTGCCCAAGCCCTGTGCTTTGATCTGCTGCGGGAAGGTACCAAGTCCCCACTGGGCTTGTGGAGGTCCTGAGGTGCATACAGACTTGGAATTGGAATAGCAGGTCTTGGAAGAAGGTCAAAGGTCTGTGGCCAGGGAAGGCAGTGTTCCAGTATCTGACCTTGGAGTCTAGGGGGATAGGGGATGTGATCAGAAGTGTTCTTAGAGAACATGGTGAAATAGGGAAGGATGAGTAAGCAGAAATTTAGATCAAGTAGAAGAAAAGTTTCTGAGAGTACTGGAGTTAGGAGTTTATTTTGAAACTCAACAGGTTTTGAATGATAGCAACAACTCTGCAAGGCTCAACTTAAAAGTTTGGCCATGAGCTGTGATCAGGTTATTTTATTTCTCTAAATAAAAGTAAGCAGAAAGTGAAGAAAGTTACCTGTGTGTGTTCTGTATTCCATGTTACCACACAGAGTAGATGAACATTTTCTCCTCTTACAGTTCAGAATCTCTCAGTCCTATACAATTAGAATACCCCTTATGTGTGGATCTGGAGGTTTTGTGTAAAATATTGAAGAATAGTACCTCTGGAATGATGCCATTCTTTTATCCTTGTCTATCAATGTCATTTATATCTCTTTTCCCATTAGCCCTTCTAAGTTATTGTACCTTATCTGAAAATAGCAAATTGTTCTCAAAGACCTAGGAGTGTTTCACCTTAGCTGTATTCATGGGCAAGCTGCCTTTGAAACAAACAGTCCTTTAGCATCATGGGTTAGAGAAAATGTGCTTCAGCATATCCCCACCATGAGTTTGAATTTCGACTCAATTTTTTAGTTGTGGGACTTTGGTCAAGTTATGTAAACCTAGTTTCTTCATCTGTAGAACAGGGATCATGGTGTTTCCCTCAAAAGATTTTGGGAGGATAAATAAGGAAATACATGCAAAGCTCTTGGC